GCAGCTCACAGTCTCAGCCAGGCGAGGGAGGTTTTTGTTTCTGCAGTACCTGCTGACTGTGGGCACCACCAACGTGGGTACCAGCCCAACCTAGGAAACCAGCAGTCAGAGAGGTGAGGTCCCTCGTAAACAGACACGCGGCCGAGAAAGGACGTGGCCAGGATTCAGCATGGGCTGTGTTCTCTGTGGGGTGCCTGCCGTGTTCAAAACCCTGCAGAAAAGTGGATAATTAGTGGCTCCATGGCCTAGTAGTGGCCAACCACGGTTTGAATCCCCTCCCTGGCAGCGTGAAATGTCTCGAAAAACGTATCAACCACATATATGTGCATACCCTCCTGACAGATGGAGAAGCAGAAGGGCTTGTGGCATGAGCATACCCCATGGGGCGCTTTCTTCATGTCCCTCTCTCCATTTCTTTCTGGCCAGTACATGTGCCTGCTAACAAAACGAACTACCCTCCCCCGCTAAAGAAAAAATCAGAAGTGCTGGAGGCCCAGGCAGCCCATAATCCCCGTGGTCTGGCCAGTGAGGAATGGAGACAGTTAAAGCCCAGAGGGCCCCGGGCAGAGCTCCCAGGAGGAAGCAAGGCCAGAGCCGCCCCAAGGTTTCAGGAGCAGCCTGGCATGGGAGGCCCTGTGCCAAGGGGTTCGCGTGCGTTCTGTCCAGAGGTCCTGACCCTTCACAGCCCATCTAAGCAGGTCGGCTGAGGCACTGAGGGTAAATTGCACAGTCACCAAGCTGGTTGGTGGCAAGGTGGGCTTCTGATCCAGGCCCTGTGACTGCGAGGTGAGGCCCGAGGGCAGTGTGGGAAGGAGGAGGAGGGCCTCTGTACTCGCAGGAGCCCATCCCTGTCCCTGTGGGCCTGTGTGTAGCCCCAGGGCTCCGAAGCACTTTGACACTGGGTCAGAGGCGTAGCCTGAGGGGCCCATCCCTGTGTTTGCATGCACCTGTGCGTTTGTGGACCGCACCCTCAGGGATGGCCGACTCTGAGGGGCAGCCCCCAGGAGGTGACCTGCTGGCTGGGCCCTCCAGTTTCCTTCTTGTTTTTTCCTGGGGGCTGCAGGATAGCAGGGCGCACAGGCTGGCTGGTACAGGGCACTCACTTCCTCACTAGGTACGGACGCTCAGGCTAGCTGGCCTGTCCCCAACAGACTCAGACATGGCCCTGAAGCAGGACTGGCGGGTGGTGGCGGCTGGCCCTGGGACACTGCTCGCTCACGCGCAGCTCTGGGTCTGGTCCTCGGCCCGCAGATCTGGTGTTTCCCGACCTGTCCGCGTTGTTGTTGGAGAGTGGTCAGGTGGGTTTATCCTTGGCCGTGGGCAGGTAGGCTCCAAAGCAGCCTGTGGGTGGACTCAGGAGGCTGAGCCCAGGCCATCAAGGGCGAGACCCGGGGCTGCTGGCTGCCTGCCTAGACGGCTCCCCCAGCTCCCGGCACTGTGGCCAGCGTGTTCCAGGACTGTGCCTCCATCCTGCAGCCCACAGTGCCGTGTTCCCAGACACCCAGCTCCAGCGAAGGGACTCTCTACAGACCAGTTCTGAGCAGATGGAAAGCCGCAGCCTCTGCAGGAGGGGCAGCACTTTGGGCAGACCCAGCGCTCCAGGCTCACGGCCGGCTGCGGAGGGCATGGGGAGAGTGGGCAGGAGGCCGAGGGCCTGCTCTCTTCCGTGGTTCCCTCCTGCTCCTGCAAGGAAGCTCTGGCACTTTCTGCTGCTCTGTCCGGCCTAGAGGCGAGCCGTCCTTTTGAATCGAGAGGCAGAGAGCCGGGCTCTGGGGGGAAGGGAATGCCAGCAGCTTGGCCCTTCGTAGCCTGAGGCCTGCTCCAGCTCTGAGCCTTGCTCGCTCCATCTATAAAGTGGATATGAAGCCAGCTCTTCCTCTTGGGGGACCGGCGAGGACCAAGTGCAATAGGTGCCGGGCAGAGGTGGCCACCACCGTTGTTCCTGACGAGGCCCCAGGGTGGTGGCAGAGCCTCCAGTGCCCTGGGTCCTCACTGCCTCTCTAGGTGGGGACACACAGGCAAGTCAGCCTGTTCCCTGACAGGCTCCAACACAGCTCTGGAGGGTGATGGGTGATGGGCAATGGCCCTGGACAGGGTAGACTGCTTTCCGGCAGTGCGGGGTTCCTGGGGCACACGGCCTGGCCCGCGACACGGTACTGCTCAGGCTTGGTTTGGCGGTGACCTTGGGGCCTGCAGCAGGTCCACAGGCGGCCTCTCAGAGATGCAGGGGTGACCGAGCTGGCCCTACCACCCCCTGACTTGCTGTGTGACCTGAGGAAGTCCTTCCTGCCTCTTGTCCCTCCTTCGCATCTCTGCACAGAAGGGTTATTCTCTGCTCAGAGGCAGTGAGGCACAGCCAGGCCTGGGTGTGTCCCGATGGGCCAGGGTTCAAGTCCCTGGCCTGCCTGTTGTTTCCTGGCACCTGACCTGGGCGAGTCCCTGCTGGACTGTTCCCTTGTCCGGCACGTGGGGTGTTGGGGCATTAGACACGATGCGTGGGAAGTGCTGGCATGTGCTGGGCACTGGGCTGCTGGTATTGGCGTTGGGTTGGGCCTTCAGCCACCCCACCCTTGGGACCAAGCCTAGCCCAGTGGCAGCCCGCTTGCCTGCAGTCAGGAGCCAGTCGAGAACAGACGAGAGGGCATGTGGACAAGACCGGGGGTTCAGGCTGTACCCGCAGGGACAGCAGTGCGTATGGGGGTCACCAACCTCACTGACCCAGGTGCTGACGACCAGGCTGTATGCTCAGGCCCTGGGGAAGTTGGCGGGTGCCTGCTGGGGGCTGGATGGGAGGGTCTGTCCCCTGAGGACACAGCCAGCCATGTGGCATATTTTTCTCCTAACAGCCAGTTCAGAGTGGCTGCCTGGACGCCTGCCCTCAGGGAAGGCATTCTCTCTGCATCAGCTGTTTCCTAGGGCCACTCCCAGCCTTTCCCTCACTCGCAGCCCTGCCTGGGTGTCTCTGGGGACCTAGTGCTGCCCATATGGGCTAGCTGCTGCGGTCCACCCAGGTCTGCTCTGCCAGCGGGGCGGCCTGCCTGCTTTCCTTGTCCATCCCTGGGAAGGGGTTGGAGCCCGGGGTAGCAGCTTCTCTGTCTCAGGATCCTGCCCTCGAGAGCCCACACCTGCTGCCCTGGATGGATGCCCGAGGGGTGCCATGCTCAGCCGGCCATGCTGGCCTGGGCTCACCCACTGCAGTGTGTGCGAAGGGACCAGAGAGGACAGGGTGAGCTCTGTCTTTGCGACAGGGTGGCGGCTTCCCCATCGCAGGCATGTGTGGCTCTAGCTGGCAGAGGGGCCCCTCGGGTGGGGGCAGGGCAAGGCTCATGTGACACCGTGCAGGGCAGCTGCTGGACCTCCAGCGAGCCCATGACCCACCGAGGAACTGCTCTCCAGACCCTCTCAGGGATGGGCAAGGCCACCTGGCCTGGGCCCTCCTGTGGAGGGCTGGGCTGGGCTGGGGGCACATTTCTGTCTAGGAGGCGCTGACGGACTTCTGAAGTAGAGCTGGCTCCCTGGAGGAACACCACAGTGCCTGCCCCACGTGCAGGTCCTGCCTGAGCCCTCCAGGTGCCCTGGCGTGCTCGGTGTGTGCCTGGTGCCTTGCCGGGCCACAGCCAGAGTCCCCGGAGAGGGAGGGCACCCAGCAGAGCAGCACCCCGTGCAGAGGCAGTCTCTGACCCCAGGGGCCCGAGGTGGCCGTGGCCCTGGCTGCTGTGGCCTCTGGGGGCAGTGTGAGGGGTAGGGGGAGAGAACAGGTTTCAGCTTTCCCGCTCCCAGGGGTTTGCCTTCCTGATGGGGGCTGGCAGGGCACGGGTGTCCTTGCGGCACCTGCTAATTGCCAGGGAGCAGCGCTGGCCCTCTCCAAAGGAGATGGGTCAGAGCCCAGCCTGATACCCTTGGTTCAAAGCCCGAGCTGGAAGGCCTACTTCTCGGAATGGCCCTGGCCCAGAACCCACAGGTGGGCAGGGGCACTGTCGTGGCCTGCTGGTTCCCTCAGGGACACCAGGTCAGCCCCTCACTTGTACCTCCACCAGGCTGGGTGCTGGTCCCTCCGGGCTATGCTGGTGACTGCTCACTTGGTGTCCCTGTGCTGGCCAGGCCCTCCCAGCCCTCCCCAAGCTCTTGGAGGGTGGCCTCTTCACCCCCAGCCCGCCCCCCACCATAAACTCACTCCTTCCCTGGACAGTGACAGGCAGCAGGTAGTCCACAAAGCCCGAGGTGCTAGGCTGAGTGACCCGGGCTGGCCCTGGTGATGTGTCTGCCTAGTGGGGTGTCTTTGCTCCCCTTTCTGGGAGCACCTGGGGAACAGAGGGCGTTATTCCAGTCCTGGCCAAGGCCCCGTGATTGTGGGGTCCTGTAGAACCCTGACATGACCACCTTTCAAACCCGCCTTGCTCACATGACAACGTGCCAAGGAACTGGGAACTCCCGTGTTGCCCAAGCTGGCTCAGGGCATGAATGGGCAGAAAGGGAAGGAAGTGATGTCGGATGTGGCCATCGGGGCAGTCTACACCTGCTCCAGACACGTGATGATGACTCCGGGGCATGTCAGCCGGGTACCCACAGGGCTGCGCAGAGGAGGAGTGAGCGTGAGGCTGGCCCCGGGCCCCGGGACAGGGCCTTCTGCACTGTTCACCAGAGTCGGCTGGACCTGGGACTGGTCACTGCTCTCAGCCGCTGACCCATCCGAAATGGCAGAATAGCGTATTCATCACGGGGCAGGCATGGCGTGAGGGGGGATCCGTCTCAGGCCTAAGAAGATTGTGAGGCTGGAAGTCCGGTGGGCCCTCCCACAGTCACCTGCAGGCCAGGGCTGGCCAGAGGTGCTCGGGGTCAGTCTTGTGCCCTGATGTGGTCTTACTGCGTCCCAGGTGGAAGGTCTGGAGCCAGGGTCTGTGCCTCAGTGGGGAGCAGAGGTCACACAGGGCCATGCCCCTGTCGTACTGGCCAGGAGGCCCCTGACATGTGGGCCTGGCCACTGGGCCTTGTCTTTGCAGAGCTCTACGCAGGAGATCGGTGAGGAGCTGATCAACGGGGTCATCTACTCCATCTCCCTGCGCAAGGTGCAACTGCACCACGGGGCCAGCAAGGGCCAGCGCTGGCTCGGGGTGAGTGCACCCGCGGTCTCCTGGGTCCTTGCTCCCTCCTCGCCCTTTTGTCCGGCCCTGGGCTCGGCCAGGTGCAAAGGCACCCATCACGTGTGTACACAGGGTCAGGATGGACGCTTTCACGCGTTCCTATTTTGGTCAGGTCCTCTTAGCTCCTGTGCCCCGTGTGTGGAGCGTTGGGGCTTACAGACCATGCTCTTGCCGCGGTGCGCTGCTGTCCTTACTCAGCTAGCAATCACCTGCAGGGGGCTGCATCTTCGGTCTTGCCCATGCCTCTAATTCTGCTTTTATTTACCTGGCTTTTAATTATCAGAAGCACATGTGCTCACAGAGAGCAGAAGAGGGAGAAAGCACCCCTAATGGCTTATCGCGCTGCAATCCCTACTCCATGTCTCCATCTCTGGGATTTGGGACACACGTGTGTGCCTGACACATTTTCCAAATCACCGGGGCTGGGTTTTGAACCATTGTCATTCACGTGGGATCTGGCTCCCTGAACCACTGGGCCGTTGAACAGGCCCTCACATTGTACATTTAAAGCTGAGAACCTTTTTCTGCCCGAGGCACTCAGAGCTGTCCCTTGCCACAGGCCACCCCAGGCTGAGGAGTTGGGCCGAGCTCAGCCTCTAAGCTTCAGGAAGTTCGTGGAGCTGCCGCTGACCGTGTGCCCCCTTTTCTTTACCCCAGTGTGAGAATGAGTCCCCCCTGAACCTGTATGAGACCTGCAAGGTGCGCACTGTGAAGGCAGGCACCCTGGAGAAGCTGGTGGAGCACCTAGTACCTGCCTTCCAGGGCAGCGACCTGTCCTACGTCACTGTCTTCCTGTGCACCTACAGAGCCTTCACCACCACCCAGCAGGTGCTGGACCTGCTCTTCAAAAGGTGAGCGCTGCCTCCGGCTCGGGCTCGCCACCTGCTCGCTGCGCGTTGTAGGAGGGCCCCCTTCTCTGAGCCTCACTGTGCTCCTGGGGAAATTGAGGTGTCAAGAAGACTGACCTTACAGGCTTAGGTGAGGACCAGGTGGGCAGACTCTGGGAAGCGCCTGCCCTGGGCCTGGCCTGCGGAAAGGGCCACCAGGACACTGACGGTTTCACTCACGTCTCCCTCTCCCTCTCTCTCTCCGGGAGGAAGCTCTAGGCTTCAGCCTCATGCTCCAGAGCCTCGGGCAAAGCAGGCTTCCTGCCTGTACAGAGAGGGAGACCCCGTCTGGAGGTCACTGGCTGGGTGGAGCCACGAGCAGGGACCCCGTGCAGGCACCGGGAAGGGCTGGCCGGGCTCGCTCAGCAGACAGGCCTACGCGAAGTGCTGCCCACACAGGTGCCTTCCTAGCACTTAGCGCAGTCACTCAGGGATGGCAGATAGAAATCTCCCTCCTGGGCTTCCACCCCAGCCCGGAGTCGCCCAGTAACACTCGACGTCGTAAGCAGGTACGGTAGATGTGACGCCCTCACGGCCTCCTCTAGATACGGGTGCATCCTCCCTTACTCTGATGAGGACGGCGGACCCCAGGACCAACTGAAAAAGTGAGTGGAATTTGGGGCAAGAGGGAGGGCCCCTGTCTCCACAGGCCCCACTGTGGGGGGAGCCAGTGACAACCGTGGTTCCCATGAGAGGCCGAGATCTGGGCATCCCTGCAGGAAGACAGAGCTGGGGATAGCTCTGGGTGCCTCAGGGAGCAGAGGGGAGGCTGGGTGTTTGGAGCTGGCCCTAAGAGCTCCCGTGTCCACCCCAGCCAGGCTTGCCCACCATGTCCTGTCCCTAGGCCCCAGGAAGGAGGCATGGGGAGTGCCCCTGCTCCCCTTTGGCCTCGCTCCTCAGGGATGAGTACCTGGGGGTGCTCAGTAGGCTCAGTGAGTGTCGAGGGGCAAACTGCACCCCACCATCCAAGGAGCAGTGTCAGGAGGAGGGAAGCCCAACCCTGCCCACAGCTCAGCACATAAGCTCCAGGGGCAGTGTCTCCAGGCCTGTCACCACTGGGCAAAAAGACATGTCCCTCCTGTACTTTGCCTTCCAGTAGGGAGGGACTCTGGAAACAGAGGAGGGTCTGGGACTCTGGAGCAGGGCCAAGGTGGGGAGTCACACCTTACAATGGAGCCTCTGTGGCCTGGCCTGGGTCCCTAGCCTGCCGCTACCTGGACAGCCTGAGGCTTGAGCTGTGGTACCCTGGCCTCTGGGTGTACAAGGGCCTCAAGGGAACCAGCCCCCTGCAGGAGTGCTAACGGGGGGGCTGTGGGGAGGAGAAGGCCAGGCCCTTGACCCTGCTGCCTGCCTCCCACCTCCAGTGCCATCTCCTCCATCCTGGGCACCTGGCTGGACCAGTATTCGGAGGATTTCCACCAGCCCCCGGACTTTCCGTGCCTCAAGCAGCTGGTGGCCTACGTGACGCTTAACATGCCTGGCTCAGACCTGGAGCGCCGGGCCCACCTTCTCCTGGCTCAGCTGGAGCACTCAGGACCTACTGAGGCTGAGCCTGAGGGTGAGGAGCACTGGTCAGGGTGCCTGCACCCCTTGGAGTGGGGTGGGTACCGAGCCAACCTGCAGGGCTCCCCAAAGGCTGGAGTTGGCCAGGAGCAAAAGTTAGCCTGAGCCACTGGGCAGGGGCTGCAATCTGGGAAGATACCCCACTGTTGGGCAGGGGCTGGGGCCTGTCGTGAGGCCGGGGTGTTCTCTGACTGTGGCCAGGACAGGGCATGGTGGGCAGTAGCTGAGCTTTCCTCCTCTGCAGCCCTGTCACCAGCTCTAGGACCAGCTCCAGCTCTAGCACCCACCCCAGTGCTGGTGCCAGGATCAGGTCTGGAGCTAGAGCCAGCCCTGAAACCCGCTCCAGAGCTGGAGCCAACCCTGAGGTCCACTCCAGAGCTACGGCCATCTCCGAAGTCAGCTCCAGAGCTAGTGTCAGCCCTGAAACCTGCTCCAGAGCTGGAGTCAGCCCTCAAGTCTTCTCCAGAGCCACAGCCATCTCTGAAATCAACTCCAGAGCTAGAGTCAGCCCTGAAACCTGCTCCAGAGCAAGAGCCAGCTTCCAGATCTGCTCCAGAGCTAGAGCCAGCTCCGAAATCCACTGCAGAGGGAGAGCCGTCTCCAAACTGTGTACCAGGGCTGCCACCAGCTCTGAGATCCACTCCAGGACTAGAGTCCACTCCAGAGCTAGAGACTGTGCTCCCACCAGCTCTAGAGCTGGAGCCGGCTCCAATGCCAGCTCCGTCACTCGAGCCCTCCTGGCCCTCGCCTGTGGCTTCAGAGAATGGACTGAGTGAGAAGCCCCACCTCCTGCGGTTCCCTCCTGACCTGGTGGCAGAGCAGTTTACACTGATGGATGCGGTGAGCAGTGGGGCAGGCAGCAACAGCAGAGCGGGGCGGGCGGGGCACTGGCCATTCCTCCTGGCGTCTGCTGCCCAGACCTGCCACTCGCGTGTCCAGAACCAATATCCTGTGCAGATCCCAGCTCCACCAGGCCAAAATGTATGGTCAGGGCAGGGACCTGTATCCCAAGGCCTCGAGTCCCCTCAGCAGTGAGGGTGGGACCACCCCCAGCCCTGCCATATGCATGACTGAAGGTTCATGGAGTGAGAGCAGGCACAGCATGGCAGGCCTGGCCCAAGTGGAGGGGTGCACTGTCTCAAAGGCTCAGCAGCCGCAACACCTGTTAGGCACCTGACGTGTGCTTTCATCCATGGCAGACACCCAGCAAAGACGGGTGGCACCCACGGTGAAAGTGCCAGGCAGGGAGACAGACCAGGCCCTGCTGTGGGCTCGTGCTGGTGCCAGCCGCCTTCTGGGGCTCGCTGCAGTGAGTGTAGGTGGGACTGCCACTCTTTCTGACTGTCGTTTACACTGAGTCGCTTGCGTGCTGGGCCCCCTCGGTGGGCAGGGAATAAACCCAGAGATTCCCATGAGGCTTGAGCCATATCCTTCAATTCCAAGCTCCAGCCTAGACCACTGGACTTCACCGGGGGACTGTGGATGCTGAACTGTGGCAGGACTGGGTGACACTCTCCTTTCTCCCAGGAGCTGTTCAAGAAGGTGGTGCCCTATCATTGCCTGGGCTCCATCTGGTCCCAGCGGGACAAGAAGGGCAAGGAGCATCTGGCACCCACCATCCGTGCCACTGTCACCCAGTTCAACAGTGTGGCCAACTGTGTCATCACCACGTGCCTCGGGGACCGGAGCATGAGGGCCCCAGACAGGGCCAGGGTGGTGGAGCACTGGATCGAGGTGGCCAGGGTAAGTCGCACGTCTTCACTGTTTTTGCCAGAAATGCCTGATACTCGGTGATTTGCAAAGAGTGGAGGTTTATGTGGTTCACGGTACGAGTCATGATCAGAGGCGTGGCAGGCCTGGGGCCGGCATCTGGCCGGCCTCTGCTGCCTCACAACATGTGGAAAAGGGTGGAGGGTCAGCAGATGGTGCTGAGAAGGGCAGACCTGAGCCAGCTCTTCCTTCATAATCGCTGGCTTATTATCTCCCCTCACTAGAGGGAGTGAGACGGCGCTGTTCCCTTCTCCGGGGCTGTGGCCCCAGGACCCAGCCACTCTGTAGGCCCCCATCTGAGAGTTCCAACACCTCCACCTCCCCAGGCCATTGTACGGGGACCCAGCTTCCAAAACACAAACCTTGAGGGACAAACCGTCATCTAGACCATAACACTGTCGGAGACCCGCTTCATCCACCCTCCGGCAGGCCCTGCACAGACCCCCGGAGCACCCCGGCCTCAATTTTCATGTTCCACCCCTGGACACTCACTTCCTCCTGAGCTCGAATCCTCCCTTCTGTGTGACCCCTGGGTCCCAGATGTGCCCTCCAGGGGCTCCCTGGGCAGCTGTCCCATCTGGAGGAGAGACATGGCTGAAGGGGCTGCAGCTGGGGCAGGCGGGCAGTCTAGGCCCACCTCCCACCCGTTCTCATCCCTGCCCAGGAGTGTCGGATCCTCAAGAACTTCTCGTCACTCTACGCCATCCTCTCTGCTCTGCAGAGTAACGCCATCCACCGTTTGAAGAAGACGTGGGAAGAAGTGTCCAGGTGGGCCCGCCTTTGAGGGCTGGGGACTGCCACAGGGCTGACATTGGCGAGGGCAGGGACTTTTTTTTTTTTTGAGGAATTTTTGCTATGCAGTGTGTACGTGCGCCGGAAAGACAGAAAATGAGAAATCATCCCCTGGGGGGTGGCCACACCGCAGTCTTTTCTCCTCTCAGGATTTTGGACTTGCATGCACATGTGCCCAGCGTGAGTTTGAAGCCACTGAGTCCAGGATTCAAACTGGTCGACCGTGTGGGAGTCCAGCAACATAACCATTATGCCATCTGCTGGTCTCTTTTAATTTAGTTTTCGTTGTAGGACGTGTGCACTCACTGGAGACAGAGAAGCAATTAATTTAGTTTTGCGTAGGGCGTGCATACTTGCTGGCGGCGGAAGGAAAGTGAGACATCACCGTGGGGCGGGGGTGGCCACACCACGATCCCTTCTCTCAGGATCTTGGGTATGTGTGCTTATGCACCAGTGAGGGCCTTGTCTCCATCGACCCACGGCAGTGCAGGCCGGACCCTCCTCTGTCGTTACTGGGTTGAGCCGCGTCACAGACTCTCAGACATTCACCTGGTGGCCACAGAACTGTCCAGTTGGGAAAAAATTCCCAAGCGCAGCCGCTCAGTAGGAGGGGCCTGGCCTCCTGCGCCAGCCGGAAGCCGCCCTCCCAGGCCTGTGGAGGTCTGAGAGCCGGGTTAGAGGACCACCTGTCCAGGCAGTGTGGGGGCTTTGAGTGCCAACATAAAGTGGCTTTGTGCTCACAGCCCTCCCTGCTTCCTACAGGGACAGTTTCCGGATCTTTCAGAAGCTGTCAGAGATCTTCTCCGACGAGAACAACTACTCCTTGAGCAGAGAGCTGCTCATCAAGGTGAGTGGGGAGACAGCAGAGCCCGCCCTGTCTCGTCCAGGCTATGGGGAGCGGTCTGCTTGGCCCATGGGCAGATGGCAGCAGTTGGGGCAGGAGGCCCTGGGGAGGCTTGGCGGTGGGGACGGTGGGCAGCTCTGGAGCGGTGGATATGCTGGCAGGATCCACAGCTGCTGGGTGGGTTGGGGGGGTGAGGCTTCCTCCAGGCCAGCTGTCCTGATGCTGAGCCAGACCCCAACCCCGACCCACTCCTAGTGCACGGAGTCCGTAGAGAGACCGGCCCGCGAAGGGAACTGCAGGCAGTGCCCAGGGGTCTGGTGGCCCAAGGGGCTGCCAGCCTTGGGTCCAGATGGGTCCCGAGTGCCCACACTGTCTCTGGGTGCTGATCGGTCACAGAGGTCCCTGTAGGAGTGTTACTATGGTTCCCCGATAGCCATTGGCACACGCCCCAGTGGCTGATGCCAGAGCAGGGACAGAGTCTTGGGTGGCTCCTTCCCAACCCCACCTCAGAAGGGGCCACAAAAGAACAGGAAGCAAAGGGCTGTGCCTACTGCCCCAGGGTGCCCGGTTACTCCGGTGGCGTCTCAGGGACACCCTCCTGTGAGGACAAAGGCAGTGTTCTCTGTGGGGGGCACTATGAGGGCCTCTGAGGGGGTGGGAGAAGCCTTGACCTGGCCTAGGGAGCAGATACCCAAGGGGACTGCTCAGCTTAGGGACCCCGTGCATGCCAGAGCCCTGGAGGTCGGCACGTTCGTCCGGCCTGATGGGGGGGGGGGGGGG